AATCTTCCTATGTTTTTTTGGTTCACTGATTTATAAGACAAGAAAACTAAGGGAAAAGACATAGATCTAAATTCTACCTCTAAAACTCACCTCCTATGACCTTAAATAAGTTATTTTTGGACTTAATGCTTCTCATTTGTAAAGGAAAACATTTAAGTTAGGCGATTTAACTTTTGGAGTCACATATGTCTTTAGGAATCTATTGAAAGGTAAGGACCCACTACTCAGGAAAATGAATGAGGCACACACACACACAAATACACACAAACACACTCACACATGAAATTTTACACACAACTGCAGAGAATTCATGGAGTTTCTAAATCCATTCAAAAGCAATCTGGTTAGAGAACCTTTAAATTTTAGCATTACCTAGGATATTCACCGTTTATGCATTTAGAATGAATTTTATGTTATTTTATTCTGGATCAAAAATTGATTCTTAATAGTGAAAATTTATTCTTTAGGTGATAGTAAAAATGATTTAGTATGGAGTCCTACAATATATTGATCAATGATAAAAATCATGAAGTAAATTTTATAGTTGTTCCAAAAGCTAATATTGGTGAGAGACATTGGAGTGAACATGTTCATACATTTTTATTAAGAAGTCATGCTACCATAAAGTCACACAAAGAGAACAACTACCTTAAGGATTTAAAGGGTAATACCAAGATGTGCACTTGGAATGGAGAAGAAATGGATGTTTCCCAGAACAAAGAGGAGAAAGGATGAACAAGGCAAATGCCATATATTGAGTGATATTAAAACAGAGTTTTCAAAAGTGTGTTTAATGAAACATTAGAGTCTTGAGACAGTTAGGACGAAAAATGGTTTATTGTGAAATAAGTTTGAGAAGTATTGCAAATATATTGTATACTTAGAAAACACATTTCAGATTAGCACATTAAAGACTCTGAGAAGTCACATAAGTAAGTAAAATCTGTTAATTCTGTTAATTTCCATTTTCCAAATTTATTTGACAATGGAATACATTTGTATCCTATTAAAGCTAGTCTTGCTGAGCACACTTTCAGAAACACATATTATGATATATCCTGGAGGTAGGGAGGGAAAGAAGACTAAAAATTAATTTCTAAAACAAAAATATGAGGAAACAAATTGAACAAATACATATGGTTTGTCTGGGAAAGTTGACCACCTTTGCCTGCCTAGAGCAAAGGTCATTGAGATTTGGAAATAATATAAAGAGTTATATTCCACAAGAGGTGGAAACACCAGGCAGAGTAGGACTTAGATACATAAGGTATTAATATATTACTTACAAGATAACAGAGTAGTTTTATAAATATATTTTCCCTGATGAAGACCTTCGAATGTTAAGAGGTTTCTCAATCTTTTAAGAACTTTCTGTGGCTGAAAAGACCAAGAAAAGGCACAAAGTCCTACCCAGTCTGAATCAGCAGCACTGAAGAAACTGCTTGAAAAATCTGGCATGTCACTACTGGTAGACTCTGATCCATCAGCTTGGTAAAGACTGAAGACATCATTCATTTCAGAACTTGGCCTGGAACTCCATCTGTGCATGGTGCTATGCTGGGCTTTGCCAAGTTGGGTTTTCTGTTGAGTCAAGGTGTCAAGAGACCCGGTGCTGCCTAAGCAGGAGAGTTTGTTGATGACTTTCAGCTCTGTTCCTGAAGACAATTAGATAGAGGCTGCAAACAGATGTTAATAGCTTGATATAATCATAGTCATATTGACTGGTAACATTTATTGAGTTATTAGTATGTGTCTATATTTTATCTCATTTTGTCTTTATTATTTTTATGGGGCAGGTCCAATTGTCTTCATTTGATAGAGGATGTAACTGGAAGCTTAAGGAGTAGAATTATCACCCCAAGACCACACAGCATGTGTGTGAGAGAGCCAGAAATTGAACCAGGTCTTCTGGATCTAGCTTTGGAGTAAATTTGGGAGTTCCGAGGAGTGTGGTTGTGATTTTAGCTCACTTTGTAGATCATTTATTGCAATGGGGTGCAACTGTAACCTCAGTGAAGCCTGCACTTTATGTCCTTGAAGAAGCTCATGCTAACTCACTTGTTGAGAGACCAATTCTTGGGTAAAGAAATTGGTCATAAGGATGGATGGGTCTGGAAACATGCTGATCCTAGAGATTTTGTGTAGCACACAGAGAAGCATTAAATCAGTGAAGCATGTAGGTTGATGCAGATATCTTGATAATGGATTGGGAACTTTTAGAAAATTGATACCTTAAGCATTTTGGAGAAACTGTAGAAGGCTCATTCTCTACTGGGAAAGGAACATTGCAGTCAAGTTTAGTTATGTTAGTTTCAATTATGAGGCTGTGAAGGGGTGGAGCTGGAGATAAATAAGACCCTCACAATTTCACAAGAGATTGGACCCAAAGTGTAGGTAGAAGCTAACAGACTTTTGGTTCAAATGAGCCATCTCCTGTACTGGAGTCAGGAATTGGTGTGAAGGAATTTAGCTTTCTCTTCCCTCTAACAGTAAGTAGGCTAGACCATACTATGGTAGCAGAAGTGTACCATGGGGTGTGTTTGACAAATAAGACAAAAACCTACAACTCCTCCAACATGATAGGAATGATATATGGGATGAAGTGATGCTGTGTTGATACCTTGATTTGGGTTTCTTACAAGGCCACAGATAAAAACGTTTACTGTACAACCCTAAGGACACTATTTATAATCTGTCCACTGTACGGTACTGACATGGTCATAATACCATTATGGAATGGAATGGCATAAGTGAAAGATAAGGCATTTCCTTCCTCTTCTCTTGGCTCTCATCTGGCCACAAAAAGGGCTGAGTAGCAGCAATCAAGTAATTTCCAGAATTCTGTAATATCTCAAATTATTTTAATAGTCTGCTTTGGTGGGGGGATGCAGTTTTTAACTGCTTATCATTCTTTTGCATCATTGATTATAGGGTGTAATGGTATGAGTCGAAATTCAGTCTCAATAGCATGGCATTTGGTTGAATTATATTTTACAAGCATCCTCACTGGAAATCAGAATGCTGAAAAAAGGAGCCTATCTCAAAGAACTCGGATATTAATTATATTTTGGATAAACAGCATATACTCAGAAATCATCAGAAAATTATAGAATCTCTGTCTCGATTGACAAAAGATAAGTTTTATGCAGTGTATACTTTATCTGAGAAGCTGTTGCTTAGAGCAAAACTAGAACTCTTTGAGAAACATTTAAAAGACAACTCAATTTGAGTCCCCTTCTGTCTCTTTTCCCAGATTGATACATGTGGCCTCCTACATTTAAAATGAAAAGTCCTCAGACAATCCTAATCACATTGTCAGTCAGATAGTCATCTCCTGAAAGGGGCTCCTTCACCTTTAAGGATGCATGTACAATAGTGATATGTAAGCAGCTCAAAGACTCAATACCCCTTTTTTCTGCAAAGCAAGGCTGGGTTAGGAAAAAATCAATATGTTGGAAGTAAAGGTCAGACGAGGAAAAGTGACATGAAACAGAACTAAGGGAACAATATCCTTCATGAAGACTGTTTGAAGTTTCCTTTACCCTTGTGCTAGCTTCAGTGCAAATATATTTTATCCTAGAATAGAAGGCTGTATTCTTGAGGAAAAGTCATATTTTAAATATTTATCTATTCGACAGTGTCCTTATTGCATATTATCCTTGTCCTATTGACTAATACTCAAAAAGAATAGCGTATAGTTTAAAGTGCACATTGCATGTGAATTGGAATTGCCAGATTTTTTTTTCCTTATTAGCAATGGGATTCGAACACACATATGCATTTGGCTACCTTTTTGAACAGTTCTCAATTTACTTTTTCGAGTGGGCCAGATGTACTACTATAGCCCTTAAAAGGGTCAGGACCATCTCCTTATTTCCCCACTCTCTATACTTATTGCTTGGGTATAGCTTTAAAGTAGCCCATGAACCCTTTTCACTCTTGCAACACATTTACCCACAATTAACAATCAAGCCGTCTTCCCTGCATTCAGGCGTCCATTCTCCCCGGCCTCATTTTCCCTGCCTCTCTCTTGATCTGCCATTGTGCAGAGAGCTGTTTGTGCCATCTCAATCTGCCCCCCTCACCAGCCACACAAGGATTGGGGGGGAAGAAAGCGCCCGGCATTCAGATGCTGAATAGCAAATTGCTCTTGAGTGTCCTTGCTTTCCCCCGGCTCTCCCCCTTCCTCGGGAAGGACAAGGGGGGCGCTGAAAGCAACTATACATTTTGTTCAGTGCTCTTGAAAACAAGCGTTTCACACCTGAAGCCTTTCACAGCAGCCTAGAAGCACCCCTTCAAACCACTTAATTGCCAATTGCTTCAGAGCTCCTTGTAAAAGTCCATTATGTCAGCCAGCTCCATGGCGGAGACAAAGTATGCGAAATGAAAGAGTCCTCCTTCTTCCAGGGCCAATGCGGCATTAAATATCCCCAGATCACTGGCTTTCTTGTTGTTAACAGGCCGTGATTGGCTCCCGTTGGAGGTATGCACGGAAACCTTCTAGTATTATTTGAAATGAAAACGCAATTTTCCTTGTGTTCTTTGTCAAAATAAGACGCAAATAAAGAGATGGCAGAGATACCCAAGAAAGGGATCTTCGCACCCTCATTTGCTGTGCTGGACGCCGGGGTAGGGGTGGTATGGGACGAGAAGCACCTACAATAGTACACCTATCAAAATTGAGTCGCCTTCTGTTTTTCTCATTAGGTTGAAAAAATTAAAGTGTGTGCAAATTTTCCAAGTTAAGAGGCTCTATCCTTGAAGTCCAAAGAAACTCACAATAAGATATTCCACAAGGAAAGAATGCGGCTGGGGCCCTGAACACAATGAAACTGAATGTTTATTCACTAGAGAATTGTTTCAAAGTTGCAGCTGTGGAAATTGATTTTAAAATGACTTGGCTTATTCTGAGGCCTCTCCCCATTCTCTCCCTCCCTGGTTCTTACTACAATTAGCAACAACACAATCAGTTTGATGAAGAACCACACCTGGTGAGCATCTGAGTAATAAAAGAAATATTCTTAAGGAATACAGTTCTTGTAGGTAATGCTTTCTCTTAACAATTAGGAAAATGGGGCTCGTCCAAGTGATAGAGACATATTCATAAAATTTGATCTGGTCAGAGAGCCATTGAGCCTGAAGGTAGAGGTGTGGGGTTGATTTGTCTGGGTATATTAGTTCAAGGTATGTTCTTTTTAGTACACATTCTGAGTTACTGGACTCTTGCTGTTGTTCTCCCAGCGCTTTGAAAACCATGGGCCTGATCCTCCAGGACTGTGAGTAATATGCACTCATATATTCCAGTTTTCAGGTGCACCTGTGTCCCTGTGCTTTGGAAGTATTGCCATTTTCTCTGATACGTTCAAACTGAGGTCACTCATAGAATGCAGTGCTTTCCTTCCTGTAAATAGCAAATTGGCATATGAGAGGTGGAAGAGGAAATGTGTCATTATCCCAATGAAACATGTGTAAAAGTTGGCTTTTGTTTGATCTGAAACGCTTCTCTCACTGTGGCTACAGAAGGCATGTAAGCTTCCTTTGCCACTGAGTAAACCTTCCCTGGACACCATGATGATTCTGGTTTCTTTATTGATCTCAAGGTCATTCATGGGGTCGTTCTGTGACTCCCGCCTGCCTCTGCTTATCAGAGAAACCATTTGGGCCAACATTGCTCTTGTCACTTGTGAGGCTACATCACGAGGCCTTCTCCCCTTGTTGTCATGATAAGCCTTTCATTGTGCCAGCCTTGGCCTGAAATGTACAGTAACTGAGACATTGTTATGTAGCTGTGATATGATCCAGATGCGGAAAATGGCGGCGCCCGGTCGCGGCCCATTGACGCCTCCCCGTAGTTCCGCATCTCTGGGGGCCAGTGCTGCGCGTGGCCGGTTAGAGGCACGCTGTTGGGGCAGGTCCCGTGGCACACTGCCGCCCCGGACACCTGCATGCCGCCCCGGACACCCGCCTGCTGCCGGATCCCGTGTGCTGGAATGCCCCCAGGCCCACCTGCCGCTGCCTGTTTCCGGCCACGCTGTTTGTGTGATCCTGATTGGGTAATTTTTGAATCCCACTGTTTTTGATTGGATGTTAAAGCTTGTTGTTGATTGGATGTTAAAGCTTGTTGCTGATTGGATATTAAAGCTTGTTGCTGATTGGATGTGTCTTGAGCCCTACCTAGGGTATAAAAGCAGGGGCAGAAGAGCAGGAGGGGGAGAACGTGGGAAGACATGGGGAGAACGTCGGAAGACATGAAGAGAGCTGTAACTCTAGGTGTGCTGAGCCTGCTGTAGAAGATTAAAGGCTGTTCTTCGACTCTTCGTGTGCCCTGGGTTCTTTCCCCGGTCAAATGGATAAGAGCTGTAACACTAGCTGTACACACTGCTGCAACAATCCCAAATGCTGCACTTACATAGTTTGATATTTTGGAGTGAACTCCTCCTTCCCTAGGGAATGCGGTGCCTTACCTTGCCTGTCCCCCAAGCCCATATGTGAGCAACTGACCTAGACTATTGGACTTCAAAATACACATAAACTCAAGAGTTTGTCAGGCACTTTGGGAGCTTAGGCCATGGCAGGGCTACTCCCTATCAGCCGTTTCTCTGAGCCTAGAGCTCAGGCTGTGACATGCCTTGTGGCCTTGAAGCCTCACCCACCAGCACCCACGAGCTGCTCTCTGGCATAGGGACCTCACAGATTCCCTGCTGTGGTAGTCAAGCCAGCTTCTCCTGAGAACCACTCAAAGGTTCACCTTAAACATGAATTAGAATTTACTTTCCACAGAGGCCTACTTCCTAATTGAGCAGCCAGACTTTAGTAATTTTGGAACTCCCTCACTGTGACGATAGTACCTTGTCTATCCAGTGTCTTCCCTGTGAAGTTTGTTCATGTTCTCCCCCTCTTTAAGCATTGTGAACCTAAGAAAAAATTCCCATTGTATGGCAATAAACTGTGATTCACGAAATCACACTTTTGTGACTGTCTCCTTATTAAGCAACAGGCATGCTTCAGACTTGCAGTGACTCAGAACCCAGAGCATTATGAAGTCAGGAATGCATTCTTACTGCTCTGTCCATCTGCAAGAATCTTTAAACAATGAGGCGATCCCAGAGCTCCTGTGCCTTGTGCCCTAAGAACGGTTCCTCCACTATTGTGTTTTATGAAGGGTCCTGTACGAGATCTATTCTCCAGTTAGCATTTGACCTGTGGGAGGTCAGAATGATTTTTCACACAAGGTGTTTCTTTGCTTTTCTTTCTTTCTGCTCTTCCTCTTGGCTTCTTTGTGCTTGCTTTCTTAGGTTGCTTCATTTCTCTTTCTATTATTTATCATGGTATAAAAGCAGAAAAGTTTATTATAGATTAATTTATTCTGTTGCCACCTAGCAGGCCAACTTTTACAATGTAGGATGTATGATGCATTTTCATTAGACCTTGTGAAAATTGTAATGCCAATATGAATTTCATAGGCACTGAAGCAGTGAATGAGAGGAAAGCAACATTTTGCTTATTCAAAAGCCATGAAGTAGGAGAGTGTGGATAGTGAATACTGGGATAGAAAGTTAGTGGATACAGTTTTGTAGAAAGTTCCATCACAGCATTGAACATCTCAGGACAATCAATCCCCACGTGTAGCAGGGGTCAAAAAAAACTATGGCCCATGGGTCAAATTTCTCCTTCCCTTCACTTGTTATTGTAAATAAACTACTATAGGAATACAGCCACAACTAAAATGTCAAGTACTTTCTAAGGCTGCATTCACTGAGAGTTGAGTAGCTGCAATAGTGACCATATGGCCTGAACATCCTAAGATATGCACTATCTGGTCTTTTAATAGAAAATGTTTGCTAACCCTTAGAATGTAGAAGAGGAACTGCTGAGACTTCCAATACTTTTCACATAGGAGAATATGAAATATTTGCCTAAGACTCAATCAGATATACTATTGTTGGGAACCTGGTCTTTACGTGTCAAGAGTAAAACACTGAGAAAAACCACATAGGCATGTGTGTGTGCTAAATTAAACTTAATTAAAGCACATCCAGCTTTCTTGGTAGACTGTTATCCTCGAAGACAAGAACACCATTTTATTTGTAAGCTGACTGTGGTCACATTTTTCAAACAGTTGCTACTCGTTGTGTGTTTATCAAATGGGCATCCTTTAAAGGAATGTTCTTTGTGAAGACAAACATTTTATAAACCTCTAAGTCTTCAGGCCCAGCTCTTTGGAAATGGAGACCACAAAGCAGGAAGACCATGCACTACTAGTTTTTTTCAGCGTGGACCCATTATATATCATTCGGCTTCTGGACATTGGAGAAGGGTTTTGATTTCTTAATGAACAACCACGTTTTTCAAATACATTTTCTCCATTCTTTTGTCTTCCCTTTATTTCACTTATTCCAACTTTCTGGCATTTTAAAAAAGAAGCAACTTTTCATAAAGAGCAGGCTTTTTATAATTGCTTTAGGAACCAGAACACCTTTTATTATTCTAGAAACAATCCATTTCCCATGATACAGCCCTGCTTCCTCTTAGTCAACATATTCAATATCGCAGCTGCTTTCCTCGCTGTCCCTTGGCACAAGGGTGCCAGCCTTCTTTGCCACTTACCTGGCAACATTTGTTGACACAAATAGTGGAAGATTTAACCACACTCTTGCCAATACCTCTGTGGTGCCAGATTTGCAATTTTGCATTATTTGGGGCTACTTTGGCCATTTCCAAAGGGGAAGAATAAAGGAGTTTTCTTTTTTCTTGAAAGAACAATTCTACTGGAGGAAAAAAAAAAAGGCAGCTGAATTAACTCTTACTTGGTAAATGGGGTCCACACTTCTGGGAAATTTGAAACCAAATAAGTTTAAATCTGCCTAAAATTATTTGAACCTTTTTCTGCAGTCCAAGGAAATTTGCTTAAATATGTCTAGATTACAAAATACTTTCATGCAATGTTGGCTTTGGTGAACACTTGGAATTTTAGCTATTGGAAAGAGGAGGTCCTAATATTTTTGAGCCTGTCTATGTGTGTTATCTTCTTAATACTCACCTACATGTGTTATTTAACTTACTATTCATGACTGCCCTGGTAGGGAAGCCACCTTTGTCCAAAGTTTATAGATGAGGTACATCTATAAACATTATTTATATATGTAACATCTATCTCCTGTTAGATAGATTCAGGAAGGTCAAATCACTACTTATATAGCAAGTAAATATCACAGTTGACATATAAACCCTTGGCTGTCTAATACTGAGCCTGTGTTCTTTGCTACTATACTTAGTACTATTTTCTAAATAAAATTATTGAGTGAACTCATCCACATCATGGCTTCAGTTATCCAATGACATCCTGACTATGCCATTGCCTAGGAATGCTCTTCTAAGGATAAACATATATAAATCTTTGTAGAATTCTCCATTCATACTCAAATTAGAACTTGTAATCTTCTTCACAAACCTGCTTCTCCTTCTTTGTTTTGTCTCCTGATAAAGGACATCTTCCAACTCATTGCCAGAGCATGAGGCCTAGAAATGATTCCAGGACCATCCCTACCATTCTCTATGACATTCAGGGATATCTATGACCGTATTGTTAAGTTTTCTTCTTTATTTTCTCTCAAATATATTCTCTCCCACTCCATCTTATCATCCACTTCTTAAATTACATCTCATTCCTTGTTCAGTGACTATCAACACCTCCAATATTCCTCCTGCCCCTCGCTTTGGTATCTGGAAATCCATTCTCTGCTCTGAAACCAGAGTGATTTGTCAGAATATAAAGACATTCTGATTACAGTCTCTTCTGTTGAAAGTTATTCAGTAGCTCCCATTGACCAAGATCTTCTTAATCTAACACATGAGGCTCTTCAGGATCTGGATTCTCTAACTGGGAAAATTGTCTTCCTGTCTCTCTCCATGCTAGACAGCAAGCCTGCGAAGGCAGCAGCCAGGCATTGTCAGCATCTGGACTGGTGCCTGACACACAGATGATGCCCAAGCAAGGGCTGTTGAATAAAGGACTATGATCTTAGTCAAAAGAGTCTATAAAATTGGCTATATATTCATATTTAAGGTCTACAATGCAAAATAAACCTTGAGCTAATTTTGGTGTTGGGGTCCGAATAGAATATTTTCACAGCCTATTATTTTTCCAAAAATTGTTTGCAAGTTAGCAATTAAGCTGTTAATGCAAATATTCATATCATTGCTCATCTTCCACTGAGCAGCTCTTCTCAAACTCTAAGGCTGTGGTCCCCAAGCCTCGGTACCGACCCATGGCCTGTTAGGCACTGGGCTGCAGAGCTCCACTGCTAGGGTGAATGAGAAAGCAACACTTGATGTGTATTTACAGCTGCTTCCCATCTCGTGCATCACCGCCTGAGCTCCACCTCCCCCTGCCCCCCCGCCCCCCCATCTGCCTCTCCTGCCCCCCACTTTGTGGAAAAATTGTCTTCCATGAAACCAGTCCCTGATGCCAAAATGGTTAGTCTCCTCTGTTCTAAGGGAAATTGATTTCAAAGCACACATCTGGTTTTAAAGTGAATTATCTTTTTTATTATTTAAATAAAAGCCAAGGATTTTTGTTGTTGTTGATTATTGTTTGTTATTGCTATTTGTTGAAACAGTTATACATGATCCATGCTCTGCAGATTAAGATTGCTTGTTCAGAGGCAGGATATGATAGTAAAGATAGAGGATTGCTTTGGCCAACTTAGTTTAACTGACTTAAACTTGAGCACTGCTCCACCTCCCTATACAGAAATTATCAAAGCTGTTCTTAACATGCCTCACAAATCCTACAGTAGAATGATTTGCTGATGAGAAACATTTGCCTTTGGGCCGAAAGTTATACTCTCCATGCTGTGACCTTATATGGATTTCCCCTACTAATTTATATCCTGGGGAAAACCCTTGAAACATTCCCTCCTAGTTTCATCATGAACTTTTCCCAAATCTTTTCTTCTTAGCAAAACCAACTACATTGTCTTGTTGAAAAGAACAGAGAGGCTATTGAAGATAGATCCAGTTAACCCCACCCCATCATTGCCGTAGGACCTAAAAATCTGAGTCTCTTTAGTAGTGAATATAAAAAATCAAAAAGAGGACCTGTGTTCATGATAAAAAAAAAAACTATTTAAACACATACAAATGTTTATTTGAAGAAATACGAATGTAGCATATTTGATAATTTTAGAATTTTCTGATTTGTACAGTAGAGAGATTTTTGAATGAGAGAAACTCAGCTTACAGCTTATAGCAATACATCCAGTCCAAACCGAGACCACACATACTGGCTTTAAAGATCAACGAAGTCAACCAATATAAAGCCATCCAGTGCTACACAGAGGGAAACATACGCAAGTCCTTAAGAGTGCTAGATTCAAATATCAGATTGAAATTTAGGATCCACATTTTCTAAGGAAAATGGGGGATTTAGATTTTACAAGAAGTGAAGAATGAGGAACTATTAGTGAAGGAAGACAAATGATGGAGTTAAGGCAGCAGAGCTGTATGTGACTACAGAAGCAGCCCCATGTTATTGCTACATTTTGCAGAAAGGAGTGCTTCTCTCTGGAAATGCATATTCTCCACCCCCACTCCCTTGGTAGGAAAAAAAAATTATCTAATTTTACTGTGTGCTTAGGCATGTGGTGTTTATGGGAAAAATTGTGTGTGTGGGTGTGCACTTAAGTACTCAGGAGGGATCTGAAGTATGATTCAAATTTCAGAAGGCTTTCCTACTTGTGAATTCCAAGCAACCAAAGCAGTCAACTGGATGAATCTACTTACAAACCCAGAAAAAGCAACAAGGCATTTTCATATCATAAAAGTAGGGTGAATTTTTGCATTTTTGCCATGAATTATTTAAGAAGCGGTTGCCATACCCTGAGCAGATGATCTAGTTTCTCTCCTAAATTGTCAGTTGCCTTTTAAGGGGGCGGGGGTTGGGAAATGAAGGAAATTTGATTAAATGCAAATGAAAACTAATTGAAAAATG